ACAAGACAGGGCAACTTCTGCTCTCCCAGGAAAACACAGTCCCATACTCCACACCCTTTAAGGTTCTTGATGACTTTGCATATATTTAGAAAGACTGAAAATCTTGGGGAAGGGAGGAACAGAGAATGCAAGAATCATTTTTGTTTGTACTTTACTGTTATGGCTGTTTCTACAAAATGTATGCACCCTATCAACATCCCATCAGAAACTGAATGGTATTTCCACCTCTACTCAGCATTTGTGAAGCCTATCTGCAGCACTAGCCATAGTTCTGGCCTCATCAGTACAAGGCTGACACGAGAATATTGAAGTCCAGTGAAGGACCACAAAGGTAATTAAGACATTGGACTCTCATATTGGAGTCACTGAGAGAGCTTGAGAAGAAAAAAAATTGAGGAAGATCTTATTAATGTGTATAAATACCTGATGAGATGGAGTAAAGAATACAGTCAGACTCTTAATGCTCAGTGACAGGACGAGAGACAGTGCACACCACCTGGAATACAGAAAATTCCATTTAAATGTAAGAAAAAACGCTTTTGTACTGTAAGTGTGAACACCGGCACAGGTTGCCCAGAGATGTCACAGGGTCTCCATTCCTTGAAATATCAAAACTCCATCTGAACACAGTCTTGGGTGAACTACTCTACTGACCCTGCTTTGAGCAGGGGAGTTGGACTAATCAATCTCCAGGGGTGCCTTCCCACGCCAGCCGTTCCTTGACTCTGTGATTTCACTTGCACAGTTTGTTCTTATTTCTCACAGCTATCATTTGATATAATATATGCAGGATGGAGTGGTCTTCTCACCTTTCACTCCTCATACTTCTGTGAACCAGAATTATAATTCATATAATTTAACTGTTAAAACAACTACTTTAAAGAGACAAAACCAAACCTTTGGGACAGCTAGTAAAACAGCTAGAGTATTTCTAAAGCAGTAATACTCATAACTGCAAATGTCTTATTCAAAAAGAAAAATATGTTTTCAAATTAAATTTTGATTTATTTTGTGACAGGGTAAATCAGCTGTAGCACAAGATATCAGAATTAAATTATCAGATTTCCCATTTTCCTTTTTTTAAAAATTGAAATCATGAGATCTTTACAGTGCTTTGTTTTTATATGATTTTATGGAGCTTAGAGTCATAGGCCCAGAGTTTGCTTAATGACAACAGGAACTATAATAATTCAAATAATAGAACAAAATACAGAAGCCAGATTTCATGGTGCTTTAATCTGAGAGGCATTTCTTTTAACCCTTTGGTGAGTGTATAACATGCTTTTCTGAACTCTGAATTACATGGGAGGATAATTGCAGTGCTTTGAGCCTAAAAGTGTTCTGTCTTCATTTCATGCATATCTTACTTCATTCTGCAGCCTCTGACGTGAAAAGCATGCTTAAACAGAAGAAGGGAAGAGAGATGTGGAAACCAAAGTGAATCAATTATTGCCTTCAGCCTTGAGAAATTAATGTATTTGACTTGTAACTGCACAAATGCCGAGATGATTCTGCTCTTCTCCACAGACTGAAAGAACATTGAAAGTAAATGGACAAAACATCCTAAAGGAAAGATATGGCCCTCATTCTGTATAATGGACAATCATATAACCAAACAGGTCTGGATTTATAGATTTGGAGTAACCTCTGGGCAAAAATCCCTTCCCTGGATCTTCTGACTTCAAACAACTCATTAATGAATAGTTAAAAAAACTACGATTCATGCTGTACGTAGTCTGTTGTCATTCAGGTGCCTTTAGAGGAGAAACTGGTCTTGTGATAGCTTAACTTCACTTAAAAGAATTATATTCAGCACTGGTGTCAAAAACTAAAAATAAAAAAAGTGACTGATTTCAGAAAAGATCAGTGAAGATATTCGGAGTGTGGGGGCCATATTTTCCTAAGAAAGATTTAAAAAGTTAACTATTTGGATACAGAATAAGAGATGTTTTGTGAGAAATATTGCAATGGCTGAAGAGATTCAATGGGTAGATTCGAAGGGAGCTTTTGCCCCATGTTTGGAAAAAGTCACAGGAGTCATTGACCAGCAGCTCAGAACAGAATTCAATTTACATTGATATTGTGAAGGTGCAGAAGGGCATTTCTAAGGTAAAGAGTTTAAACTATTATATTTTGGAGAAACGTCCTGACAGGGAATAAAAAGCAGTCACACAGGAAAAGCAGAGAAATTCAGCTGCCTGGGAAATTTATGCTGCAACTGGACGAAGAGCTAGGGTTCTGTGATAGAATGCTCTGTTTCAATTAAAGAGATGAGCCAGAAGAGCTTCTAGCCTTTCCCATCTTTGTGTTTTATGAGTACAGGTGTTACAGGCATGCAAAGTAGCATATCTTAATTGTCATCTCCAAATCAGACCAGTTCCACTTGTGTTTGGTTTAGCATACTGTATTTTGATGAAGTTTTCATCTGATTTCCCTTAAGGACAACAGTAGCATTTGCACTCATTCAGAAGTTAAGCTCTTATGCTATTTCATTTACTATGTGCTTAGAGAATTTAGAGTGTGAATTAAAACAATGAAAAAGTCCTTGTGGCACAATGCAGGAGAGAAAACCTATAACTTTGACAGTACAGATAGCTGTTGACTGCCAGAGCTTTACTCATACTCCAGTAAGCTTTGCTCTGGGAAGAGAAAGCTGCACAAAGAGCTACTGGAGCCTAAGAACTTCAAAGTGAATGACATGGAAGTGCAAATCAATAGAGTAACCACATGAAACTTTTCAAGGGTATTTGATGCCTTCACGTGTTCATTTTAAAATGTTACCTTGCAAGTTCCCACTAACCCTATCTTGCTTGAACTCTCTAGCTATTTCCTGAAGAAAAATCTAGCAGCTCCTAGGGAATCATTGTTATAACCCTGAGATTTTGTCAGAAGACGCTTGGAGAATATGAAAGCTTCACTGGAGCTGATCTTTTTTTCAATATCACACTTTCAGTGGAGAAAAGGTGCAAAACTTTTGTCTATTGCCTACATTATTCCAGTGCAGTCCTGCTGAAGCCCTACTCGGCAGAACTCAGCTGGAGGAGAGAGAAGACACAATTTATTGCATTATTTTTCTGAAACATACTCTTTTTCAAGAAATGTGCACCTTATGTTTATACATCAGTAGTACTCTTGTTAAATTGCTGGAATTTTATTTTTGCTATTACTTGTTCCTACTGGTACCCTAGTGTAGACATAGAGGTCTTTAGACTGGATAACAACTGGTGCTTGTCTGTTCTCTAGCTTTGTCTTTTGTTAAAAGTTGAAAATGGTGTTGTTTCACACCAGTCAGTAATGATCAGACAGGATTTGTTGATATTGTAATGCTTTTTTGTAGTTCAGATCTTGGAGTCCTCAGTCAAATCATCTGGAGAAAATGATTTCTACTTTTTATTATGGAGTACTTCTTTCCTGTGATATATTAGCTGATGCACAATTGTAATGCATTCACTTGAAAGACCTGACATGTAACATATTTTAATAAAATATATTTAATTGTCTTGAAATTGCCATAAAAAGTGTTTTATACTGCAACTTTACTACTACTTTAAAAGAGCATCATGCAAACATTGTTGAACTCCTGTAAGGCTCCACTGACTTTAATGAACTTTGGATCAGACCCAGAATTCCCATGTCAGAGTTTCAGGGAAAGTGCCATAATAAGGCTGCTCTACTAGTATCCTTTCATTGGTTAAAATGAAAGAAAGAAGTTGCTCTTAAATGTTTTTGATAAATTATATTTCAGAATGTTGTCATACTCTTGTAAGAAGCAGGAAAACAAGTGCTTTAGAGCTGCAACTCTAGGAAAATGCACTGTGGGGTTTTAAATCTTCTAAAATGCAATGGATACATTCCTTTCTAATGTTCAGAACTTGTGCATTAAATATTTGCATCTAAAATTCACTTTTATCTTCATTTGGTCATGTAGAGACATTCACATTTTTCTATGTTTGAAAACAGACACAGATGTTTTCTTTAATTAGAACAAACAACAGACATCTTACTTAAAAATGTTTATTGTAAAAAAGTGGCTAGAAAACAACATAAATTTCACACTTTCTTCAAGTTATCTATAGATGCTGCTATAGGCAACAATTCGCTTTCATTCATAACACATTCAATCATATAAAAATAAAAATATTTACATTATGTCCACATACTTTACAAAATCATCAATAAAAAAGGCACTTGGAGGGGTAATGCTGAAAATATTGCATTTCCTTTGTGCATTTAAAAAAATAATTGTAAAGCTCCCATGGATCCCCTCTCTTGCACTTATTCCCATCTTTTAAAAAAAATGAAGTTTAGAGGAACTATTTCATATCAAAAGATGATCAAGCATGCACCAGGAATGTTTGAAGCTACAGTATTACCTTTTCTTGTTCTTTTTTTTTTTAAAGGCACATGCGGTTAAATTGTGGTTTTCAATTTTTTCGTACATTCTCTTATACTTTTTTCTCTCTCTTGATTATGCAGTTTTAAAGCATTTTAGATCATTAATGAAGGCCTTGGCTTCTAATAAAATAAAATAAAAAACACAGCAATGAATAATATTAAACATTTACTAAGGTAAACTTGGAATACTTTTTAAGGCACCTGAGACAAATGGTGTCTAGCAAAGTTCACTTGGGTAGTATTTTTATTAAAATTTTTATTTAAAATACTGTGTCTTTGGTTGAAATGGCTTGGCAGGAATGTATTGATAATTTTACAGCCTTTTCTAAGCAAGAAAAGACAACCTACATTTGGCTTCACCTATAAAGAAAGCTGATAATGCTTCTTCCTTTAGATTACTTGAAATGTCATGCATGGCATCTTTCCCCATATTTCGGAATTCACACTTAAGAATGCAAATGTATGGCTGAACAGAAACTACTTAAAGCTCATTTCTACTGACATTCTAAGTTCTTCCACTAGTTTATTTGTTTGCTTGTTTGGTGGTGTTTTGGTTTGTTGGTTTTTTTTTGTTGCTTTGTTTTTTTGTTTGTTTTGTTGTTTTGTTTTTTTTTTTGGCTGACGAGTAGATGAGAAAATGCCTTTGGATTTCTACTTATCATTTGGAACAGGAGTGGAGAAATGCATCGAGTCCAGGTAAACATTGACTGCATGACTCAATGTGCTACACAGCAGCCAGACTCCTCATGTTTGTGCAGAAGAGACATTCTGGAGAAAGTTTTGGAGCAATTTTTACACTGGTATTTCTTCACATCTGAGTGGGTCTGCAGATGAGCCCTCAGATTGGATCTGTCTGCAAAAGCCCTGTTGCAGTGAGGACAGGAAAACGGCTTCTCTCCTGCAAAGGGAACATCAAGAGAAAATAGGATAAAGTTTTTTTAGAAAAACACATGTTTAGGACAGGTAAAACCTGCTTTTATCCTAAGAAACAAATGAGAAACAAAATTGACTTGTTATAATAAAAATATGTGTAATAAAAGGTTAATCAGGCCACAGATACAGCAGCTTTCTGTACTGCTGGCTGTACTTGCAGAACTCTAGTCTACTCAGAATATGCTGCTAGGTGCAGTCTCTGAAGACAAGCTGCTGACACCTTCTGCATCTACAGGTGCAGTACTTCTAGACTGGGCTCCTCCCAACATTTTCAAATATTTTCATAGAACTTTTTCTGCTTACTGCTGTATGGATTACTAGGGAACAAGGCCTTTGACTGAAAAGCAGCAAACAGCTGTACAGACATTACATCGTACCCAGTGTTATACTCAAAACCCAGTTTTTGCCTCAATAGAAAAAAACCATCCACTTGGCTGATGATGTGTTTCTAATTCTTAAGGATTTGAGACAGTGCATGCAAAACTTGCCAGCTGCTTAAGGAGTCAGAAAGCAGCCCCTCATGCACTGCCATTCTGTTTTTTGCTGCCTGATTTCAGAGTCAACTGGAACCTTCTCAAAGTTAGTAGTTTCCAAAGCCTAAAAGTTAACATAACATTCTTAAAGCAAAACCTTCAGCTAGTGGAAATGGGCTAAACCATCCTAAAATTATCAGGACAGCAATGCTGATTTATGCCAGTATCTGGGCCTCAGTTATGAGACCATGCTACACTCCCCCCTCCCACCCTCCCTCCAAGAGGGAGAAGTTAGCCTTTTAATGATTTAGTTGAAATTCAGTGGATGCATTTCAAGGTTAGTTAAGAAGCACTGCTGGTTTTACCACCTGTGGAGAAAAATAGCAAAAGGCATCCTGATGTTATAGTGACAAAAAACTACAAATGTAATGCTTGTTCTTACCAGTGTGAGTTCTAATGTGTCCTTGAAGTAGCCAGGGTCTAGAGAAAGCCTTCCCACAGATCTTGCAGACACAAGGTAGTGTGTGGGTCCTGATGTGCATCTTAAGCGCTCCCAGGCTGACATACTCCTTGTCACAGTACTTGCAGCTGAACGATTTCCTAGACTGGGCATCACAGTGCAGTTGCTTATGTTTGGCCAACCCAGAGAAAGTTGAATAGGTCTTGTTGCATAAACTGCACTGAAACTTTTCAGCTTCAATTGCATGAGGGTCTGAAAGCTTTGACTGGATTCTCTCTTCTTCATCGCTAATGGGACTTTCTGAACCGCTGTGATCTTTGGAGGAGGTGTCAGAAGGTGGAGGTGGGCTGACTCTTCCCAAAGATGAGGGGTATCCAGAAAGTGGAGACAGGTCATTGGGTAATGGAGACGGTAGCAGCCCAGTTGTAGTCCACACGGTAATGGGATTGTAAGCTACTGAGCTCAGGATCTCTGGCTGTGGTATGATAGGGACTGGATAGCTTTCGTACAGGTAGGGGGATATAATCACTGGAGAAAGAAGAACATTTTAAGGTAAGAGAACTAAAAAGTACTTCAAAAGGCAGCAAAATTAACATTCTGGGGATTAAAAGCTGGATAAATTAAACAGGATAATCTGAACATAACAGTTAAGAAAATACTCTTTCATACCCATATTCTGATGGGTAGAGACAGTGCCCTTGAACAGGCAAATTGCAGTTGGAGAGTCTCTTCAAGGCAGCATGCTGCTTCTAAATCCGTGCAGCCTGACACAATGAAACAGTGAAACTTCCTGAAGGATTTGTGTAAAATTTCAATTCCACCACCAGCAGATATAGAACAGGAAAGCTCCAAATCCTCTTTAAGTAACTTGAGTTCAAGTGGATGGGTAAACTTTCATGATTCATTCTGGTCAGCACTGACATATTTCTCACAGATATTTCTCCTTGTAAGCAGGAGAAAATAGAGCAAGCAGTGAACTAACCCGTCCCCTGCAGGCTGCAAAGCAATCCCACCCCTCCTCAGAACTGCCACGCAACGACCGCAGCCTCAGAAGAGATGCGGTGGCACTAGATTTCGTTTGGTTACCTGTATGTGTGTCCAGCTCGCTGTAATTCGGCTTCTTGGATGAATTGAAATGTTTCTTGACCAGGAAGGAGCGTGGCATTTTGGTTGTAGGGTTTCTGCTTCTTCCAGACTCTCTTTCCGTGCGGGTGGGTGTAGCGGTCCCGGATGGCGCCCAGCACACAGGCACACGCTGTATCACTGCGGGCGCATTGGTCCCGGTCCCGGTCCTGGTCCTGGTCCCTACAGCGCTGCCGGCCCCACGCAGCCCATCCACTCCCGGTTGTGCAGTGGCAGTGCCGAGGCGCCTTGAAAAGTGCTGTAAATACTCTAGAGTCAGGTGCAGGGGGGAAGGGTTTTCCGCTCCTCCAATCGCTTCGGGATGTTCTCAAGCACTTTTCCAAAGAGGCTGTTTTTCTGGGAGGGCTCTGGGGCTGCTGGCTGAAGGATCCAATCCCACTCGAGGGGTTTGGTTCAGATTTCAGCTCCTCCCGCTGGAGACAGCTGTGAACGAGGGAGCGAGCTCTAGCAGAGTGCGTTACCCTGCTCCGAAGCGGGGGCATGTGGCTCCGTAGAACTGCAGACTAGAAAAATGTGTTGGTTAAAGTGCTTGAAAATTAAAGGTCAGTTTACTGATTCAGCTGAATTCTTTTTTTTTTTCTGTCTGACGGAGACCTGGATAAGTCATAAGCACCGAAACTCCCCACTCTTATTTTTCTTTCCCCCCCTTTCTTTTTTTCTACCCCTCTTTTTCTTTTCTTTTTTTTTTTCCATTTTTTTTTCTTTTTTTTTTTCTTTTCCCCAGTCTTTCCTTCTTTCTTTCTTTTTATTTCTTTCTCTGTTTTTCCTTTTTTTTTCTTTTTATTCTTCTTATTTTTTTCTTTTTTTTTTTTTAAACAAGTCTGGTTTCCAGATGTTTGATACGAAAATTATGATGGAACAAACTAATCGTTAGGGGCAGAACAGGGACATACACACACACATACAAAGCATTACAAGACAACAAGTTCGCTGGGAGAGCTAATGGAAGCCTTTGAACTGACTGAGTGCCTGCTACATTTGGGAGCTTCCTTTGAATGGCTGCACTTAAGAAAGGCTGGAGATGAGCAGCCATCCTCCCTAATCTGCAGCCTTCCAGGTAGAAGGACCAGACAGATACTGTAAGGGACCAAGGAGAGGAAGAAGCCCTGTAAAGGATTACATTTCAGAGCAGGGTGATAGGTTTTATACAATATGCATACTACTTCAGATTGTTCATATGAAGAATACTTTCTCTTTTTCTTTAAAAATCTGCAGAATGCAAAACCTCGACCTTTCCTTCCTTGGGAGTAGTTATGTCACTCTTTTGCCTATCCTCTTAGGACACACAAGGAAATTTTCCTAATTATCCAAAGCAGTTAAAAGATGCACAGATAAGCAAACCCCCTAAAATTATAGACTGGGTAATTTAATGTCTCTTAAATGTCCTTCTCCATTAGTATATTTAGGACCTCTTGATTTCCTATGAAGGTGTAATCTGTGTTGTGTATTTCATTTAAGATGAAAGCCTCTTAAATGTGCCACAGAGTTTTCTGGTTATCTAGATTGATTTAGGGGAGATATTTAGTCACAGATAGGTTTTTTAATTTTAAAATATTTGCATTTTGGAAATATGGACAGCTGAGTGCTGGTAAATTTCTAACACAAATTACGCTCTGATTGACTCTTGGTCTGCCTTCCCCACCCCTTCCCCCCTCCTTGTGTATTAACTACACCTGCCTGGGCACATACTGGTATGCCGTGCTGGTGTGACGCTAGGGCTCTCTTCTGTTGGGAGGAGGCAAGGAGGGGTGTTTTACAGAGACCACCCCCGCCCATTTTTGCAGCAGGTGTTGGAATAGATGTGAAGAAAAAAAACACCCCGTGGGTCTTTTAAGACATGCAAGAGCAAAGTGCTTTGTCAAGCTTCATGACTTCTTAATCTTGGGGAATGCCAAAACAAGTGCAGAGAAAGTTAGCCATTTGTAAGAATTGATTAAAAAAATAATCTGTTCTGCATCTAACTCTGGTGTCTGTTAATGAAAGGTGTCATATGGATTTCTAAATGGTGAGAAACATACCCAGGCTATGGGAAGAAAGGGAGAGTGGCAAGGAAAGGGACTTCCCAGGTGTCTGCTTTGCAGCTGGGGCAAAAGGAACAGAGGTTGCTTTTCTCAGAAGGGAGAGCAGTGCTTGCAGAGACACAAGCTGTTATTTTCCTTAACTCCACAGAAATGAAGAAATCCACAAAGAATTTTTAGAAGGTTGCATTTGTGGTCCTGCTTCCCTCTCAACTCTGTTCCATCTGAGAAGTCCCTGTCCTCTGCCAACTCTGGGAAAGCATTGCATTTCAGGATGTGAGGCATTAGTCTGTATCTAAATAGTGTGTTACATGAGCTGTGATTCAGACCTTGAGCTGGTTTGTGTGTTGAAATGAATGGAGCCATGCAGATTTTCACTGGCTCAGGATCTGTTCTTTTGTATGTTTTTTAAAAGTAAAGGGTCTGATTCACCAGTGAGGTACTCCCTCTCAGGATATTTTCACCAGCATTACACTGGAGTGATGCAGTTAAATTAATTGCACTTATATAAATTACAGGAGCGTAAGCAGTTAGCCCACTGGCTGAGGTGATTGGAGGATGTTAGGAATTGGATAGAAGGCATGTTATTACATGGTCCTGAAAGGATATTAGCAGCACATACTACCTGAGTGAGGTCTGCTGTCAAAAAAAGGGAGAGTCTGCGTGAGGAGTGGGTGAGTCAGAGTAAACAGGTGTTCTGGGTGTTTACAGCAAATGTGGATGAGAGGGCACTTGGAGATGTGTGGCATCAATCCCCATTCAGGGAAGGCAATATAAAGGTCGAATGCAGAAGACAGGAAGTTTCCCCTCCTTGAAGGAGCCAGGGAGGTGTAGAAGGTGGCAGGTGGCTCTGATAGTCATGCTGCCTGCAATCAAAGCCTTGCATCTACCTCCAAAAAATCAGATCTAGAGCTTCCCTCTCACATTTTACAAGTAGTTGGTCTTGTAGGGATTCTTTTTGATTTTACTTTGAAAGCTTGTGAGCTTGTGTAAAGCTGTCTTGTTAATGCCATTGCGCTGCTAATTGCTGCTCTGCAAAGTGTGTAGGAAATGATACAAGCAATTCTGCTGCCTGAAACCTTGGCATGTGCTTTGCAGCACCTAAATGATTAGGACCAGAGTTTCAACCATGCAGCAGAAATGACTCTTTTTTTTTTTTTTTTTTAAAAAGGCCACTTGTTCATGTGCACAGATAACAAGCTGTGAGCCTCACTTTAATCTTCCCATTTCTGACAGCTCTACCAAATCCCTTTCCTTGTCAGGTTTTTTGAGAAGGGCAGCAACTTCATTACTTGGCCTTCTGGAAATGGCAGGGTGCCAGAACTATGTTTATTATCAGAGGGAAGAAGAACCCAAGCTAAGCAATCAGCACCTTAATTCTTCTCATGACAATATTTACGTCCTTACCGAACATCAATAGCAAGCAAGAGAGTGGATCAGAAAATGTTAAATATCTGGATAAACCACAGCAGAATCAAGAAAAATAGTTTCAGAATAGCAAATAAGTTGTGTTGGATCACTGTTCCCATATTTCTCAGGCAGCACACTTAATTACATTTTGACTGCTATGGAGTCCACAGCGAGGTTTGGAAGAACCCCCAGGAGGCACTGAGCGCAGCGGACCATACCAAAAATAGCACTGGAGGTTTATTGATGAAGGTGATGACTGTATCCTGGAAGAGGTAAAAGCGCAAGTAACTCTCTCCTACAGTGTAGCTCCTGCCATGCATAAGGCTCCTACATTTCAAAAGAAAGTGTGAAATGGTTAATATGAGAAAAAAAAAAGGTGAGTTTTCAGTAGCCAGTTGAATGTAGAACATTTCAACTCAGCTTCGATGTTACCATTATGCTTTCATATTTCCCTCTTAGTGCCACTGATGTATCCTGGAAAGTATATACATGGTGTAGCTTTCAGTAGCACTAGAAGCTGAGGAGTACCTCAAATGTGATTAGATTGGATGTCAGAGAGAAATAAGCCCAAAATTAACAGAGTAGAAGGAAAAAATTAGGCAATGGTATTAATTTCTCTTGCCCCAGCATATATGCCTTAATTAATTTTGAAACACACTTTTAGAATACCTTTTCTTTCATGTTTTGCTCATCCTTCCAAATGCTCACCTGAATTATCAGCATAAATGGTAGCAAATTTAAAGAAGGACTACTAAAAAATCACATCAAGCTCCAGACTTGTAGGCTCTATCATAGGTCATGATAAATGTATGCAGTTTGGAAAGTTTTTCCCAGTCAAGCAAGAAATCTCCACATTTTGAATTTTTGCACCAATAGACATATTTTCTTCTAAAATCGGTAACTTTGCCAGAGTTTGGGCCTATTTAAGAGATGGTCTTTGAACAGCAAAAATCTAGTTCAGTCTGAACTTTCCAATAAGCCAAGGCTCTTTGAAGTGGGTCTCTTAGAGATCTAAGCCCATCTATATTTTATATATATCTATATGAAAATAATTTTTCTAACAAATCAAGTTGCATTTATTAATAGATGCAAAATGGTTCCTTTTGGATTAAGCAGTTCAAATAGTCCTGGCTTCTGTGTGCTCTCTCTTTCACACCTGTCTAGCTTCACTGACTTAAGAGAGGTCAATTTAAAGTCAAAGTAGCCCATAATAAAGGAACCTGGTCATAGTTCAATTTTCCTACGTTGTTTCTACATTAAGATATTTCAACAATGGGCCAAATTCCCCTGTCATTCCCATCTGTAATGTCTCCACTGGCTCCAGCTGAGCTATTTCAGATTTACTCAAGCAGAACTGAGATCAAATTCTAGTCCAATAAATACAACTCTGTTTACATGTGTAGTGCTGTGACAAGTATTCGTTAAACAAAAGTGTGTTACATCCCAGCTCAAGCTATTGCACTCTAGAAAGCAATGCTGATCTTCCAGTATGCCACTGCATTATTCATACGAGGAAGAAAAGATTTGAAAACGCTGACCTTGGGATCCAGGGAGCGAAGCGAGAGCTCGCACAGCGTTATGTGGTTGGAAAGAGCCACCTGCTGGGCACAGCTGCCGCCGAGAGCGGGATGCTCCGCGGAGCCAGCACCGGGCCGGCCGCCCCACCGTGTGGCCAGCCCGGGAAATGGGGATGCTGCCGGCACCGGGATGGACCGCCGCCCTGCTGGTTGCGGGAGGCTCTGGGGAAGAGAAAGACGGGGGGGCCAGCATTGGCAACGAAAGGGCTAAATCGCTTTCTGAAATTTGTAATATGGCTGAGATCTATCACTTGTGCACAATTTTCATCATTAC